CTGTGAGTTATCAAAGAGAGCCCACACTTACAGCCTCGTACATCTGGGTTGCACATGGACTTCGGCTAGCACATGTTCAAATCAACAAAATACACTTTGTTTATTTTTCTGTTACAGGAAGGTCTCAGATCATTACAAATTGTAAAGATTCAATTTTGGAAGGGAACCATTCAGAATTTCTTCAATTAACTCAGCGTCCCCTTCCTGTGATAGGGTTCAAGTTTCTTCGTCCGACAACAAGGAACGATAACAGTGCAATATCTTGTTTATCGCCCTAACTTCAACTCTGCACCTACCACCAACACTGGTGACACATTACTGCAATACCCATGAAGATCCCGGATAGAATAGGTCTTCAGCATCCCATGCTTGCCGTAAAAGGCAACTATGCTTGTCGTAAGAGGCGACTAACAGGATTGGGTGGTCAGGCTCAGTGACTTGGGTGATGCTTGTATCGTATCCCAATTGCTTAGATCGGTGATCATGATATCAATCACTGGATTGTCTGGACTTGATATTTACAGACCGCCATCATACAGCTGGAATATTGCTGAGTGCGGCATTAAACAACAAACAAACATTAAGGCAAAGTTTGGTACTGACATATAATAACAATGTTCAACAATTGTCTCAATTTGTGTGAAAAGGGACCAGATTTCCCACACTGTTGCAAGTACCAACAATGCTTCCATGGCGATAAGGTTGAGCAAGTGTAGCAGCAACAATGTCCTGAAGCGTGAAGGCAACATTGTTCCAGAATGTGGATTGTGCTCCCTACACCTCCACATCAGATGTGATGAGGAGGGAAGATACAGCAATATCTACTTTTCATGCTCCACAACTTGTCTACAAAAGATTTTATGAGCCAATCGCTCTTGCGCCAGAAGGCAGATAATCGGCAGAAGATAAAACTCTGACATTCGCCAACCTGGCCACATTCCGCTCTCATCTTTTGTAACTCGAACGAGGACTGTTTCACAAACATATACACATTACTGGCGGTGTTTGAAGTTGGTGTTTGTCAGAGACGTTAAAGCATCATAAAAAGCTGCAGTTTTCAGCACTTGAGACAATTTGCACCGCTTCTCCTTCCGATAGACCAGGCTACAAAGATGGAAGTACTTCAATGTCTGCCTTCCCCACCTTGACGCACCTCCGTGAGAATGGCAATACACATCTGTAAAACACAGCCTCCATGTGAAACTCACAATACAGCCAATCACGCGAGTCAAGAGAATGATAGACTCACGATATCATCAACAAATCTGTTCTTGTTGATATTGCCGTTGATTGCTTACTGTAACATTTACATCTCTACACATGCACAATTCCTCTATTCATGGAATGCATGGGAATATATTTTTTTAATGTACGGATAATATTTGTCTTCATATTCTTACATATCCTTCGTAAATGTCACCTCAGCATGTGTGAAACATGGGTTATACTTCATGAAATAAACTTTTCCTCCCATCAAACTGTGTAGGCATACGCTACCGATTTCCCTTGATGCCTACAGGACTGTTACCAACACCAGAGAAAGAAGGGTCGGGTATGAGATCGTAATGTTGAAAGTATATAAGCCGAAGCTGAGTCCCAGAGCCCTCTACAGATGAAGTAAGAAAACAATCAGCAAAGGAAGTGGTTGGAGTTCGCACAGAAACATTCTTGTGGTGTAATACACACCAAACGACCATACACATGGGGAGAAATATTACCCCCACTCGGCTCTGTTCCTGGTGTAGGATCCTGACATTAACAGACCAAGTAACACTTACTGTCTAGTACATGGACAACTTTAGAAATTAGCTGGCAGGTTCAGGGTATTGTACATTACAAAACACCCTTCAGAAATAGTCCAGTGGAAAATAGCATTAACATGCCATTCCCTTTTACTTTCAAATGTAAAATTAACAGCAACCTATTCAACTACAAACAGTTATGTTAAAAGGACACAACATTACTGTAAAAGGTAATATAATAAATTTATTACATATTTGCAAATATATAAATAAAAAACTTTAAAACGAGTTTTCTCATAACTTTTTTGCATATACTGTTAAGTGATCTTTGAACGTTTTCCTGACTAATTTATGAATTCTACGTACACTGACAAAAACAAACACCCTTTTTTGACATTTTCAAAACTGTTTTGAGTCCATCTTGACAGGAAAGATTCTCTCAGAAAGAAGTGCTTGCATGATCTAATTTCAAACTGTCCAAATCTGTCACTGAGAATGCATGAGGTATTGCCATGCATGAGTTTTTAGCTAAATGACAAACAAGCTGTTGAAATTTAACTGCAATTTTACCCCACTCATGCCATCTGACGCTGATTTTGCAAGTATAACGGTGCCGCAACTAAGTGATAAATTACTGGCTTTATAGACAAAACTAAGCAATAAATTACTGGCTTTATAGGCAAAACTAAGTGATAAATTGAAAGCCATATACCCAAAACTAGGCGATAAATTAAAAGCCTTATAACAAAAACTAGGCGATAAATTGCAGAATGTAGGCAATCTAGGTGATAAGCCTAAAGTATATTGTATATCAACCGCAACACTTGTAATCACATTGGAATCTGCGTTCCCAAAATCCTTCATTGAAGCAGAATAATCCCAATCAAGACGAGTGTCAGCCACGAAGAATCGTGTCCTTGGAGAGTCATTCCAATGGAGAAGTGACAAAGAAAGATTGGATAAGTCTGCTGATAAATTTACACGATCTCCATCTTGGCGCAAAGTGAGGGAAAACTGAAGCTCTGCGCTCCCCAGTGGGCTAGTGATGTCATCAATTAGCTTCAGCATGTTTCACTGTCTCCTATAACTCATCAGTTCCATTCAGTAAGTCTTTCAGTCTGCCAATGTATTTTTTCCCAGACAGGGCATTTGCCTCAGCTCAAAGATTAAACATAATCGATATTGTCATGATCATGAGCACAATGTACACCCCCATTAAGCTTGTTAAATTTCATCTGCAAGTTTGTCCAAATGCTTGGAAAAATAATCAATATGTGTTTCCAGACAACATTTAGACAAAAATACCGGGAACAAGTCATTTCAAAAATATATTTTTTTGAAACAAGTTTTATGTCAGAAAAGCCTCAAGAACATTGATTTGATGACAGTTTGTTGTGTATAGGAGATGACGGGAGCAACATCCACAGCTCGGACAGAGCCAGACACGTTTCTTCCATCCACATATCCAGAATAATGTCCCATTTGCTGGTGTAGGAATACATGTCTGCATTAAGGCAATACTGTGATTACCAGAATGCCATTGTACAAACGATCTTAGCGCTAAGTTGATCGTAACTCCTATATCTTAACATAGACTTACGACTGTCGTAGCGCTAAGGTTGTTTTGTACAACGGCACCTAGGACCCAAATTCGTACTTTCTGTTTAGTTACCTTGGTGCCGTTCTACAAAACAACCTTACCACTACGACAGTCGTAAGTCTATGTTAAGGTATGTGAGTTACGAATACCTTAGCGCTAAGATAGCTTTGTACAAGCCACCCAGGGCAAACAAGTCGTTTGAGGTACCACTCTTCAATGTGCTAAGTTGCGTCCCTAGGGTGTGCCAGAAATCACTAGTGTTGGTTCAAATCCCTGTTCATCCCGTTTATATTTCTAGGTTTGAAGCATGATACCCGTGCTCGTGGGTTTCACCAAAGTCACAAACATCTAAGACCTGCATCACTTTGGGCTTTCCTCCCACATCAGGCCAACATGTAGTGATATAGCTTAAATACGATTCAAAGCGTGTTAAACCCAAGATCATACATAAATAATAACAACACATTGTCCCTATAAAAGACTTGTTTCTAGATTTGACTATTATAAGGATAGAATTACTAGACATCCATTGACTTATTCAGTACAGACTTGGAGCAAGGCTAGACTTTACATTAACTTGTCACATATGCCATACAGCAGTGTGATGCAGCAATACTTTCATGAATCATTTCATCCCTACATATTACAAGAACAATAATACACCTACCAGCATATTCACTGATTCGAAAAAAAATCAAAACAATATCGCCAACCTTCCCATTCATAAGATTAATCAAACCTGGCTTTTATGGCTTAACACAACATGACATTTACCATTTAACAGGAATCAGAGATAAAGACACAGTCAATCTGACCACCTTGTGGGAGCTAATATTGACAAGGGATGATCTTCAACACTGAAATCAGCATGGTATGGGGTCGCCGGCCCTTCTACAACAATAACCAGCAGGGACAGATGTATTAGAGCCGTCCAACACACCAACTGGTGTGAGACCCTCCAGTATTCAGCTTCATGTAAGCGCTTCCAGCATAAGCTGGTCGGATCCACTGCTGACGGCAGTAATCCCCTCCCTCGCCTCGTCTCCGTATCCCTCTCGGCTGATCCTGTGATCATCCCTTCCCTCCCTACCATGAGATGCAGGCCAGGCAAAGGTCGGAGAGCATGCTAGGACAGCCATGTCTCATTACCCTCTTAATGTTATTGTATATCATATCAAAGAGAGTCTTAACGTACTAAGGTTGCATGTTGTTATGAAATAAAACATCTTGGTCTTTGTGGCACTGGGTTCCTGCTAGGATTTCTGGTCAAGTTTCCTTCAGTTCGGTATGGTGCTTTGGTGCGTGCATCTCCCAAAAGGATAGGAAAGACTCCGATTGAACTGTACTATGTTGTTTCTATCTCTGATATACCTATATCAACATCCTTTTGGGGAAATGCCTAGAAATCTGGTCATTCCAAAATATTTTTGTTTTGATCAGAAAATCGGATTGGACTTTTTCATTCAAAAACGGGTTCTGTCCAATATACCTATATCAACATACTTATGGGAAATGCCTAGAATGTGGTCATTCTAAAAGGGTTAGGATCAGAAATGGGACTGGTTTTATTTGAATCCAGCAAAAAAGTACAAGAGTGTTTATCCTCAAAAGAGATGGACGAGAGTTATTTGTCCATAGACAATATCTGAACTACTTACCGAAATGATGGCTTCGGTTTTCCTTCTGGCGGGAAGACTTTGACCTCAAACTTCTCGTGGACAGGTACAACAACCGGATAATTAGCCCTCAGACGAGGCTCGAAAGTCTCCGATGTAATTTCTCCCAGGGCTGAAAAAAACCCATCATGTCTTAATTTGTTGCTAAAGAATTTCTATAATTTACAATCATTGATATGTCTTTCGCTGAAACAGAAGATTATGAAATAACAGTTTTTTGCAACCACGTTTATCAATTTCTGACATAAATGTGGTCGTAAGTTCAACTCAATGTCTCGTGTTTGACAGAAGCAGCAAGATGATGTATTTTTCATCATGATCTATCTCCAATTCATGACCAAATGATATTTTTATTCCACTGATTTAATGTGTTAATAATCTTCAGGGTTTTTTAGGACAGGTGTCAAGTTGTTGATCCATGCTCTCGTAATTAGTTTGTATATTCGCTCCAAACGAATCTGATGCACAGAATGATGCAGCAGAGCAGGTGCCCTGGCCCTGGCTGAATGGAAGGCAGCTGATAGCATCATCATTCTCATCATCATATATCATCATAGAGTATGACATTCCATATCTAATTAGAGACCCCTACAGCCAACTTTATCACGTTTAAAACATTCAGGAGCATTGTGCCATGCAAGTAATAATTCTCCATAATTCTGAAAAATGAGACTTGACATTATCTTCTGATAGACTGATATCAGTAATAAAACCATCATATTTTCAATTCTTAACATGTCCCTGCATAAGCGTCACAGGGGTCTAGTCCTGTTGTTTTAGAAGATTACATATATACGAGTCAGTGAATATTTCACCCATATTATTACATAATAATTCATATTTGAAAATTCTAATTTGGATCCTTCAGATCCATCTTTCCTCTGCACATACAAACATTTCAAAGATACTCTATGGAATACACAAACAAGAAAGGGTTGTGACAATACATACAGGATATTTAACACGTTCCACCCTTATCATCTATAAACATGAAGCAAGCAATACTCTATCATAGCATCAAGCCATGCTCGAGATAAACTGCATCAGTGCGTAAAATATGCATTAACCAAACTGAAATATGCAGACAAATCAAATCCTAGCATATCAAATATGAAAAAAAACCCATTAATACGCTATTCAAATAAAATTTATGAGTATATTACAACTGTAGGATAAAATGATTGTGTATCAGCCGATCGACAAATTCACTTACCGACAGTAAGGTTCTGCGACAAACAGATGCCACATTGCAAAGCACATTGTGCCTAGTCAATGTACATGTTGAATCTTAATTAATGGCTAATTGGTAATTAAAACAATAGCGTCTTTCTCACAATGCTAGGTTTTGTAAACTAAAAATGGCAGACAGTTTTACTACTATTCACATAGTTTTAATTGATTTACAGGGATTGTAACAAAACAGGTTTTAAGTTAAATACCCAAATGCCAAGAAACAGGTGGGTAAAAGTTTTTTGAATACCCTCTAATACTTGTGAATTCCCAATCAAAATTACACCCCTGGGTAAAATACCAAAATAACCAAAAGCTTATCCTTAGCTCTGCTCAAGGAGATTCTCCCCATCACAACACTGTGACGGTAGGATCCCCATCAACATCCACAGTTCAAACCTCTCTGTGTGGAGGAATGAGCCGGCCACACTGCAGTCTACCCTTTACATATAAGCCATAAGTAGGCATGGCGTGATTTACAGTTTTATTAACTTTAGCACGGGCAAAACACTTCCCAGTAGAGGGGTATCAAACCAGGCTTCCCCTGCATATGAGTAGCCGAGACTGATAAGGAAAGAAAGCTTATGTGATAAAACCATTAACCAGTAATTTATAGTGTCCATTTATTTACCATCAGGCTTCGAATGGGTTTTTTCAGAGATCTTATTTCATTCAGAATATGTAAATGGTTTAAAATGAGAGAAACTGGAATTTAAAGAAAGAGAGGGAGATGGTTTTAACATCATTTTCATCAATCCTTCTGCATGACCTGAACAACAAACTTTAACCCCATACAGTGGCGGGATTTGAAATACACTCAGTATTGCATAATATCAAAAACTGCTGGTTATAAGCTGTGTGGCTGTTGTTCCAGACTTCCAGGAACCATTCCTGAAAGTGGTTCATGACACATGCAGCGCAACATCTAATACTGACAGATGAGTGTTGAAGACACCATGGCGGACACAGTCTCTAGACCCCCTGCCCTACTGATGGCTCCAACACCAGCATCCTTGAGCCACACCCAGACAACCCTCTGCCCCATCGATGGCTCCACCCCAGCATCTCAGAGACACCCAGACAACCCTCTGCCCCAAGGATGGCTCCCACCCAAGCATTTTAGAGACACCCTGACAACCCTCTGCCCCATCGATGGCTCCCACCCCAGCATTTTAAAGACACCCAGACAACCCTCTGCCCCAAGAGGCTCCCACCCCAGCATCTCAGAGACACCCAGACAACCCTCTGCCCCAAGAGGCTCCCACCCCAGCATCTCAGAGACACCCAGACAACCCTCTGCCCCAAGGATGGCTCCCACCCCAGCATTTTAGTGACACCCAGACAACCCTCTGCCCCATCGATGGCTCCCAGCCCAGCATTTTAGAGACACCCAGACAACCCTCTGCCCCAAGAGGCTCCCACCCCAGCATCTCAGAGACACCCAGACAACCCTCTGCCCCAAGAGGCTCCCACCCCAGCATCTCAGAGACACCCAGACAACCCTCTGCCCCATCGATGGCTCCCACCCCAGCATCTCAGAGACACCCAGACAACCCTCTGCCCCAAGAGGGTCCCACCCCAGCATCTCAGAGACACCCAGACAAACCTCTGCCCCATCGATGGCTCCCACCCATGCTGTCCATGCAGGGAACAGGAAGTGAACTTATTCCACCATGTTTTCAATTACATGACAAAATTTGTTCACATGTGTAGAGTGTTTTTCTTCCAAATCTTGAGATTCCACCATCTCTGTAGGATCAAATCAATATGGCAGCAAGGTGAAAGAAGACGCACTACCAGAAATGATCGTGCCAGAATTAGGAGGTTCGACTTCAGGGCAATTTTCAGAATGTAGGCAAAAATGTAGGCCAGGTGGCGGGAATTACCTGCCATAGGAGCCGGAGAGTAGCTCGGACTGAAGGCGGACTGAGTGTCTCCCGGGACTAGGCTGTGTTTATTTGTATGCTGCCATGAGCAAATATTCCTCTACATGTAGCTATTGTTTACAGTAATACTCATCTGCCTAAAACAACATAGGGTCTGATCTTCATGTGTTTTGGTGTAGGCAAAAAGAGGCTCTCAAAATTGCCAAAACTTTTTTTTCGGGAAATGAAAATGATAAAACGATGCCTGTTCATGTCCCAGCGTCACTTGATGTTTAATTCACACCATTCTCGGCACACAAAAAATGATTTTGTGTAGTTGGACAGCCAAGATGAGGCTTCTGCAACATTTCTCTGTATCCGCTGAAATCCTTTGGGAGCTTCTTGACCTTTTATCAGTAATCTCACAACTTCACCTAGGGCTCGCACACATGACAAATGTATACTGATGTTTGCTCGAGATTTAGCTTACTTGGCTTTGTGTTATGTTTATGAGTTCAAAAAATTCCAAACAGACCCAATGGCATTGTTTCATTTTTCACGCAGTATTTGAGGGAAAGAAATCCACACAATCAATATTTCCTTTCAGAAAATATTTTTGAAGGATAAAGAAATGGCTTTTTCTGCATTGAAGACGACTCTGACCTCCACGCTGGGAGTCAGCAGTTTTGTATGTGTGGGACGTCTTGAGCTGCGTCTCACTTGATTTACTGCGAGATTACCATCGGAGCAGCAGCATGCTGGGATGCTCTGGTAGCTCGTCTCAATCGTTTTGCACTGCTGTGAGACTAGTCACAACATCAAAGTTTTTAAATCTCCGCAATGAAAGATGAATATTTAAGTAGGAGTATTTTATTCGAACTTCAACATTCTTAAAATAATCTCAACCACTTTCTGGGCTTGAAATTTGGAGATGTTTTAAATTTGGTACTTAATTTCTCTACACAACTGTGAACTATATACCCTTGGTACTTAATTAAGTACTTGCAAAACTAACTGGATCTAATGTTGGATGGGAGATGGAAATTATTGATGGCAATAAATAAATTGTCAGATATACACCTATTAAATGAACATGACATACCAATATCTGACATATTTAGTAGACATCTTTGAAAAACATTTATCAACAAAAAAGATATCTGCAATATTGCTTTTCATTCTCTTATTACTTTAAGTATATCATTATGGATGACAACCACCACCACCACTACTACTACTACTACTACTACTACTACTACTAATGTTCACCAATTCAGATATGCAACTCATATCCTCATCCAATATCACAGTACTGTGATGTTATTGAAGCAAATTAGTACACTGTTTGGTTTTTAAAATATCCCATAGTTTCTTACATTATTGATGAGATATCGCCTTTTTCAAATTCATATCAATGATGCAATGCTATTAGGAATTACTCTTCAATTTGGGGTTCTTGCACTTTTTGTTTGCCACACTCAGCAATATTCCAACTACCTTATGGTGGCCTGTAAATAATGAGTGTGTGAGTGAGTGAGTGTGTATGGTTTTATGCCGCTTTTAGCAATATTCTAGCAATATCACAGCGGGGGAAACCAGAAATGGGCTTCACACATTGTACCCATGTCGGGAATCGAACCCGGGTCTTCGGCGTGACTAGCGAACGCTTTAACCACTAGGCTACCCGACTGCCCCCTGTAAATAATGAGTCAGGACCAGAAAATCCAGTGATCGATATTGTGAGCATTGATCCACACCGTCAGGGTACAATGACACGCAATCAACAAAGTCACGATGTCTGACCACCCAATCCATTTGGTCGCCTTGCACCACCAGGCTGCTGGGGACCTATTCCAACCCGATGGAGATAAGTGTCCAGTTTGGAACACTTTTGCTAAGACCATAAATCAAACCTAGAAAGGCCTTGGCAGAGTCGGATGAGTTATAACTTGTACAAGTAGTGAACAGGAAGACACTATCGGTGAAGTAACCAGTGAGCAATATCTCACATCTTGAT